GCTTTAGTCGAGAAGGAAGAAGCGCTCTTTATCACCTTTTGGGACCAAAATTCTTTTTAAGGCTTCTTCACTCTTCTTGGCTGGTTCTTTGCCGATATCATCTATAACTTCCATATCTTCGTCTTCAATTTCAGTTGTCTCTGTCTCTAGCACGTTGCAGGTGGATTTCATTGCTGTTATGAAGCAATTTTTTTGCCTGTACCTGATCCCTTCTAACTTTCTCAATTCCATGCTCCATTGGGAACCATAACAATTGATGCAGTGTTGAGGAAACAACCCTCATTGCGTGCAACCATGGCCTTTCCAAAATAACATTGTAAGGGGAGGGGGTGTCAATCACTGTAAACTCTGTGCTTACCCTCCTGGTGCCTGCCTACACCTCCAAATTTATTGCTCCCAAGGGCCATGTCGGCGTTCCATTGAACCCGACCATCGAGCTAAAGGACTGCTTCAAATCATTGCGATGAAGGCCAAGCTCCTTGTAACACCTGACATATATGATGTCACAAGAGCTGCCTTGGTCGATCAGAATGCGCTTTACCTAGTATTCTCTAACCTTGAGGGTCGCCCCCAGAGTATCGTTGTGTGGATGCTGCACTATGTCTAGGTCTGCCTCAATAAAGGACACCATCGGTCTCTGGTACTTGTTTGTCCTAGGCCTCTTTTGCTGGACCTGACATACATGCTGTAAGTATTTTACCTTCTGGGTCTCTCCTTGTATATCATTCTCATTAACTTTCGAGTGGATCACATTGATCACCCGAGGTTTTGCTTGCTATAGCTATGGCGGAAATGGTGCTGCTAGTGCTTGGGGCAATCTCGCCTGCTCTTTCCTCGTTCTGGCCTCATCTACTAGGTCCCTCAAGTGACCCTGTATGACCAGATCTTCCAAATGTGCCTTTAGGGCTCCACGTGAGTCTTAAGTCAGGTGTCCATCTTCATTGTGGTAAGCACAGTGCTTCCCAAGACTTCTCCCTATAAATTCGCCAAGAATCCTTTCTGGTGTTCTATAATACGGTTGGTTCCTTATCCTTTCTAGAACTTTATAAACCGGGATCCGGAACACAGTGGTGATTGCCTGTGCAGCCCTCAGCCATGTTTCTTTCCTATTAAATCCAGTATTACCTCGGCCTCACTTCGGCAAGCCGCTTCTCTTTTCTTGTTTTTGTGCCTTTGTTCCCGGCGTATCCTCTTCTGCTTTAACATATTTCTCGGTCTTTGCCATGAGCTCCTTCATACTTTTTAGCAAAGTCTTTGCCAGCGACTTCCGGAGTATGCAATCATCCTCCAAGCCGTTCTTAAAAGACACGACCTTTAACTCCTGATTACATCCTGGTATTCGATTGAACACCTGATAATACCTTTTGGCATAAGCCTTGAGGCTCTCACTCCCGCCAATTTTCAAAGCCGTCAGGGAGTTTACCCTTAATGATTGCAACTTGTTCATGACAAACTTGGCCACGAACATCTCGATTAGGCCTTCCCAACTCTTCACAGTTCTTTTCGACAACTTGTGAAACCAATCCGAAGTGATTTCCCCAAAGGATGAGGGGAACACCTTGCATAGTAATAGTTCGTTCCCGGTATACAAGGCCATTGAATTCAGATATAGGCCGACATGAAAGTTCGAATTAGATTTACCATCATAAATCTAGAACCTCGGCGTATGGAACCTTTTGGAGGCCTCAAACCTATCCAACTTCACTGAGAACGGTGCTCTCGGCTTCACAAGGGATGTAACCTCGACATTCTGCCACTTCATCTGGAGGTAGTCCCTCAAATCCTTCTTAGTTCGACTAAGAGCAATGTTATTAACGGATTTTAGCCTTTTTGGTGCACTACTCCTAGTGTCGTTATGTGTTCTCTTGGACTTCTCTTTATTCACCATGTCAAAACAAAGTTCCTTCCCTTAAACATGTCGATGTTCCTTAACATAAGTTCCCTTGGTATGAAGCGTCCTCTAAGACTCTCCTCTCGCTGACTCTACTCGCTTGGCATCCTATGAAGGCCAATGTGAACGTTCATTCACTTTGTCATGCTGAGGGACTGTTGGGGTTGCTTTCTGCCCCCTTTCTGGGCGTCGTTCTTGGCCGCTGGCATCAGTGTGTCCTTTAATGGAAACAGTGGCTGCATGACGTTGTTCTGCATCATGAAGTTGACAACCGATTGCAGGTCTGTCAACTTGTTTGTCATTCCCTTCATCTCGCCGTCCCTTCTCAAGCATCTATCTTTCCATACTTGGAGGTCACTTTCGTTGTAATACTCGTTTCGGCCTGCCTTCTTTGGTGCATCTGTCTCTTGGCCGACGTCCTTCCCTCCGGGATTCTGTTCCCGTGGCCCTTCATAACATTTTTCCTCCTCCATGTTAAAATCGGCATGTTTACCACTCCTATTAGGAATGTCGTTCCCAATCTTCTCTTTCTGCCTGTCGTTGGCCATTTATTCTCCTTACGTTCCCACAGACGGTGCCAAATTGTAGGTGTTGATTTCCAACCACACAACCAAACAGGTGACTCAGCTGGAGAGCACTAGTAGAATAGATTAAGCCCAAACAACCTGTCACAGAAAGATAAGAATCGGGCGGTGGTTCGTCCACCCGAGGGCACTCCGACGATCAAGTTAGTAATCAATATCTCTCAAAGATAGCAAAGAGTACTCAAAACTCATTAGAAAAGAACTTACTACTCCCAGTATATCTCACATATCTCAGACCCACGAGGGTGTACTGCTTTTATAGCTAACACTGATCTGATCCTTATAAAGGCCTAACTTCAATGGACTTAGACTCAATGCTCATTTTGGACTCTTAGCTAGATAGGGATAAACTCCCTAAGAACTTTATCTTTATCCAGACTGAGAACCTCTCATGTTCTAGGACTCTTGTCCCTTATCCGCTCATCTCAGATTACGATATCTCTGCAGATAACCCCGACCTAGCCGAGATCACTTCGGCGTCAGGACCAGGCCACGTGGTACCTCAACTGACACTTCGGCGTCACATTGGCCACGTACTGTCACTCACAAAATATGTCTCCATAATATATATTTTTGTTGAAATTCATGAAATCTCATAAATTTTCTTTTTTAAAAGGGTAAATTACAAATACACATATTGAGATTGAATTAAAATACGAAATGCCATTTGTGATTCTAAAAATTACATTCCACCCCTCAAATTTCTAATTTTATAATAAATCGCTTTTTTTATTAATAAATTATCAAGACAATTAACAGTTTTTAATGACGTTAAAATATGTTTCAATTAATAATTTAGGTAACTTTACAGAAATAATAGAGACCCGCTTTTTTCTTGACCCCCACAGACACATGTCAGTGAGTGATATAAGGGAAAAAAAAAAAAAAAAAAAAAAAAAAAAAAAAAAAAAAAAAAAGCAAAAAATTAGCCAATCTCAATGCATTGAGGGTGGTGGGGGTTAAGAAAAAAGGGGGTCTCAACCTTTTTTCCCTTTATTATTGTGTAAGAGAGGAATTATGAGTTTCATTTTTTTAGTTAATTCTGTTAAATAAAAAATTCTAACAAGGAGATATTTGTAATTTTTCAAATCACAGAAGACAATCTATACTTTAAGAAAACCTCAAAGATGTATTTGTAATTTACCCTTTTTAAAAATATATTTTTTTCTTATATCTTCAGATATTTATTATCAACCGAAAAAAAATCAAAAATACGAAGATGAGCGTTTTTCATACGCTAACTAGGAGTGAACATGTCTGAATTGGTTTAGATTGGGGTAAAACTAGGACCAATCCGTTATCTACGGTTCCTGAAAAATTAGAACCAATCCAATCCGTTTAAATTGTAAAGCCAATTCGAACCAATCCATTTAAACACGGATTGGATCAGTTTAGGATTACAGATTCACATAATTAAAGAACAAAAAATATATATATATATATAACATTTTAATTTTATAAAAATATAAATATAGCATCATATTAGTTACATAATAGCAACATGTCTTTTCATAATAGTGACATACTGTTCTAAAATTTAAACAATTATAAGAAAATTGGTTCTACTATAAGTATTTAAATCATGGCAAATTAAAACTAAAGACCAACAAACAAAAGCAATAAAAAAAAAATACTATGCAAGTTTAGATTTGGGTTTAACTTTGGGTTTAGGTTTTATATGAAATAAGACAAGATACTATGTAGGAGGGTGTGTAATATAAATATAAACTATTTGTATACGGTCTGGATCAGTTCCAATTCGAAACTAATCCGTAGATTATGAATTTTTAATTTTTCAATCTTGAAATGAACCGCAAATTTAAAAAATTAATCCAAACGTATCGAATTGAACTGAATTGGATCGTATTACAGATTTCATAGTGTGGGGATACATTTTCAGAGTACCAACACGTGACCAAGGTGATGCCGACGTGTCAGCCGAGGTGTCACGTGCCTAGGTTATGACACCGAGTTGATCTCAGCTAGGCCGAGATTATCTTCGAAGATATCGGAATCCGAGATAAGCGGATAAGGCACAAGAGTCCTAGAATGAGGAAGGACTTCAGCATGGATAAGGATAACACTCTTAGGGAGTTTATCTCTATCTATTGAAGAGTCCAGGATAAGCACTGAGCTAAAGTCCATTGAAGTTAGGCTCCTATGGGGACTAGGATTGAGTTAACTATAAAAGAAAGGCACTTCTGATGGGTCTAAGGTATGCAATTTATATTCTGAACAATGAGTTTAGCACTATTGATTATCTTTGAGAGATATACTGACTTGATTGTCGAAGTGCTCCCGGGTGGACGAACCACATCCAGAATCTTCTCTTTCTATTGCAAGTCAGCCACGTGTCATCTATTTTACTAATATTCTTCAATTGATTACTGAGTTAACAATGTGATCAGAAAATCACTCACACGCGTAGATTTTTTGCTCAGCTCTAACGCCAACCATGACTACACAGTAGATCGTATCTCAGGTCTATAAATAAGACCGTATCGTAGACCAAAGGAATACAACTCATTTATTTTTACATCTTTGCCCCTCACTCATGTACCATTGTGTGTGAGTGTTGTGTGTTTCCGCGTGAGTCCTAAGCGAAGCGAAAGGAAGAAGACAGAGAGGCAGAGGAGGGCGGCGGCGGAGGAGGAGAATCTGTTGCGGCGGCGATGGATCCTGACGCGGTGGCGAAGGCTTTCGTGGAGCACTACTACTCTACTTTCGATGCGAATCGAGCAGGACTAGCGAACCTTTACCAGGAATCGTCGATGCTGACCTTTGAAGGTCAGAAGATCCAAGGCTCTCAGAACATCGTCGCGAAGCTCACTAGCCTTCCCTTCCAGCAGTGCCAGCACAGCATCACCACCGTCGATTGCCAGCCCTCCGGCCCCGCCGGCGGCATGCTCGTCTTCGTCAGTGGTAACCTCCAACTCGCCGGCGAACAGCACGCTCTCAAGTTCAGTCAGGTATGTGTAAAATCTATGTACACTTGTGCTTTTTGTGATTCGATTATTCTGATCGATGAAATTAATTGAGGATTTGGACTGATCTGACTTCGATTGATTTGAGAACTTCATTCATGCATTAGTATCTATTGGTTTTGATGATTTGATTTGATTTTTTTCTCCTAATTTTTTCAAGTAAATGCTATTTAGGATTACGTGTGGATGCGATGTTGTCAGGTTTGATTAGTAACTTTTGAGTTTGTATCTAAGTGGAAGTTTTTAGTCTTCGTGTACTTTAAGTTGTAACTGGAAATTTAACTGAGGATTTGTTATTTATTTTATCACGATTTGAATGTGTGGTGTTCAGACTACGATTTGATTGTTGCTTTGTTTAGTAGATCTACGGATTTTCACTTGCCTTCTTCTCCTTCATTATTTTAAACTCCTGATCTCATAAAGTACAAACACCATCGCTTACTTGCCTTGGCTCCAGACATTTTAGCCTAATTGCTTTTCAAATGTTAAGTTGCTCATGAAATTTCTGATCAAATTCCAAAAAAAAAAAATTCCCCTACGAAGCTGTTATTTGAGGATTGTTGTTTTTGTTTGCATCATCCTTTTCTCCTCTTGTTACTTCTCATTGGATTCAGAAGGTATTTTGGCGATATTAGTTAGTTAATCATCTCCGAGATGTGAAAATATTTGATTAGTTTCTTTTTACTCAACTAGTGTTCTCTCTCTTGTAATAGCCTCTGTTTTATTAATGTTTTTAATAAGCCATAAAAAATTGCGTTCAGGTAGTCTATGGTAATCTGCTTGACTATGGCATGCACGGAGCGATCTCTTGGCATCTGATTATTCTAATGTTTTTTTTTTTTTTTTTTGAAGTAACATTCTTTTGCTAATGCCTGAAAATAATGGATAGTGATGTTAATAAAATTTTTAATCATGTTGATTTATGGTCGCTCTCGTGAATGATCATGCTTCATTATCCCCTATTTGTTAGAAAAACTCAACATTTTGCTTTAATTATTGCACTCCTTCATCCATGACATGAGACGTTGAGGATGTCTAAGTAACTTAATAAATCATATAAATAAAGAGATAAGCTAACAAATAAATTAGACAAAGACAACAATAAAGACTGTCCAAGTGCTTTTCATTTCTCTCTCATTTTTTCTTCCTTAGTCTTTTCTTTTAGTGATATGTGCAGTTCTTTAGTCGAAATGTTAAAGTACATCACATTGTAGTTTCTTTGAGTTAAAAGTTACTATCAGGGAGTCAAAATCCTAAAGTACATCACATGGTAGACCTTGTCATGTTCAGGGCAGTGATATATGGGAACCAGTTCAACTCTGGATTTGCTTTGTTGATTTTACTTTTCCACATGAAGTTCTGACATGTTTTTGATTGCAAAAGGCTAAAAAGAATTAACACACAGATTGTAATGTGTATGAAGCAATTGAATATGATCCTCCTAGTATCATATCTCAATTGGCTTGGTTGACAAACGTTTATTTGTTTTGATATTTTGTAGCTTGAATTGTATTCTATACACAGTTCAGTTGTTGATTCAAATTTCTCTGTTATTGCAATAAAGCTCTGATTATTTTTGTATTTGTCCTGATATATAATGATTTGCACAAGCTTCAAATTAAAACCAATTTTTCTGTTAATTCTGCTTTTTTCTGTTCTCTTTCACCCTTCTGCTTTATGTACATGCTTTACCTTTTGGGGTAAATCATATTGTTTTACCTTTTAAAAGAAAATAAAAAATAAAATTTTTTATTCTAATGCACAGTTATCAATTTGAATTAAGATTGTTGTCAGCAATCTGTGTTTACATAATATTTCTGTTATTCTCATCAAAATTTCTTCGTGTTCTTTTTGCTCCCAGATGTTTCATCTGATGCCAACACCTCAAGGTAGCTTCTATGTGTTGAACGACATTTTCCGATTGAATTATGCATGAAGATAACTGATGGTTTAAACACAAAGGGCGGAGAATCCATGATGCCAAATGTCTTCGAACAAATTCTGTTCAGCTTATTTTAGTGAGACTTTCAAAAATCAAGAACTGATGATTTTTTCTCCTTTTTTTAATTTTTATCAGACTTTCTATGCTCAGCTCTTCGTAAAATGTTTGTGTCATCCAGTCTCCATCATTGGGAGACTGTTTTGTTTGATTGGGTGAATTGGTGAATGATTATATTACTTTGTTTGATTGGATGAATTGATGAAAGATGATTTTTCTTATCTGCTTCAGTTTTCATGAATGGATTGATGTTGGATGCTTGAAGATTGTGTAAGAGAAAATGCAGGGGGTTAAATATACCTGAATGTAAACACTACTTGATGGTTGCACTTGTTTTGTTTGATGGTTGCCCCTCTGCCTGTTTGATGGCTCCTTCCCTTAACCTCTCCCAAGTTGAGATAGAAGGGAACAGCAAGAAAGTTATTGAATTGAGTTGTGTGTTGCAGGGAATGCGGAGCTATTCTCAAGGATATTACATCTATGGCTAGGCGAGCTTGTATGTCTTTCTAATGGTGTCTATGGGGCAGCTCATTGGACTGCGTGTGCTTGTTTAGGAGATTTCTTACCTTTGGATTGGGTGTCTCGTCCTTCTTTAGCTCTTGTTGCTTGCCTTTCTTGCAATTTAGGCCAAGTTTGGGTAGTTTAAAAAAAGCCAAAAAGCCAAAAAGTTACTCAAAAAGTTAAAAAGTCATCACTATTCACCAAAAGTCAACAATTACGGCTGCACAATTCCCAATTCTAATTTTCTCCTACAAACTAATTTTTACAATTTTTTATTACACATTTTTCTATAAAAAGTCAAAAATTTAACCCAAACATTCATATTTTCAACCTCAACTTTTTAGTCTAAAAAGACAAAAAGTGCACTTATTTAGTCTTCCCAAACTTGGCCTAATTTGGGTTTTTTTTCCTTTAAAAAAAAATGAAAAACATCTTAGGGCACAACTTGTGGATGGCTGTGCTGTTTAAGCTTGGGGGCCTACAACAAGTCTCATTTTGATAATTCGAATAATTTATTTTTTAAATCACGTGTAAATTATACATTAAAAAAAAAATAATCCGGTAATCATAACTAGGTTAGTTTATTATATTTGTTTCTTAAAAAATAGATGGTCTACTTTTTAAATAATATTTGTCATTTATTTTTTTAAAATAAATTTTATGAGTTAATGTGACTATAGTTATCAGATTGATCAATTTTTTTTATTATAAATAATTTGCATATTGTGATATAAAAAATAAACGATCCAAATGGTCAAGACTTCAAGACCATGATGGACATCTAAGCAGCATGAAGCTGTGGCCTTTAATGGTTGTCATTAGGAATGGCAACGGGGCGGGGCCGGGCCGGGGATCCCACTCCCCGTCCTCGATCCCCGATGGTGAAATTTTTCCCATCCCCGGTCCCGATCCCCGACGGAAAACCTATCATCATTTCCATTCCCGTCTCCTATGGGGATCGGGTTTCCCCGACCCCGAAGTTCCCCGATCCAAAAAAAAAAAAAACCTATTACAGGAGCAAATCATCAACATCATCAAACAATAGTTCAACTCAACAGATCAACAACATCTTACATCAACAATAGATGATCTACATTTACACAACAGATCTGAGAAGTACAACTCAAAAAGATAAATCAGAAAGATGATGTTGGCTGCGACAGAAAGGCAGCGGCAGAGATGGTGTCGGCGCGAAGAGAAAGGTGTTGACGTTGACAGAAGGAAAAGGCGTCGGAGTCCAGCAGTGGAGGGAAAGGTGTTGCCGTGATGTTCTTGAGGAGGGAGATTAGAGAGGTCGGCAAGATTGGAAGAGGGAGAGGACAGCGGAGGAGCCGCCGCCGCCGTCGATGCCATGAGAAACACCTGTAGCAAAGAAAGAGAGAGAAGGAGAGGGGTAGAGGCTAAGAGGAGAGAAGAGAAGTGAGAGTGAGTGAATGAGTGGGAGAGAGGCAAACTTGACTTAACTCAACCCTAAATATATATATATATATATATACGGGGAATAATTGGGGACGGGGCCAGGGTGGGGGAAACCTATCCCCGTCCTCGGCCCGAAACTAATCGAGGATTCAATTTTGAATACCATCTCCATCCCTGCGGGGATATTTTTCGGGAAAAAACCATTCTAATCAGGGTTGGGGGATCGGGTCCCCGTCGGCCCGGGTTGAAATTGCCATCCCTAGTTGTCATTGGATTTTGGTGTGAGAAAAAGAGAGTCAAATAACGTCTTAGTGAGATTTAAGAGTTTTATCCATAAGCCTCGTTGTCAAATAACCTCTTAGTGAGATTTAGGAGTTTTATCCATAGGTCCCATCTTCATTAGAAGACGAAAATGGTCATATGTCACATTTAGTTATAGTTATTTATATAAATTATATATATTGAGTCAATAAAATTTGAATAATTTGACATGAACTACCCATTATGCATGAAAATTTAAATTTCTTTGATGGTGGGAAATTATCGGTTGTTCCAAACAAACTAAAATATTGAGATTTTATCCTATCTATACAGTAGGTTTGAAACTCTTTTCCTTCTCTCTATATAATATTATATACAGATATATCTTTTAATGTTTTATCTATATATATTATATATATTGAGTCAATAAAATTTGAATAATTTGACATGAACTACCCATTATGCATGGAAATTTAAAATTTCTTTGATGGTGGAAAATTATCAAAAGTTCCAAACAAACTAAAGTATTGGGATCTTATCCTATTTATACAGTAGGTTTGAAACTCTCTTCCTTCTCTCTATATAATATTATATACATATATATCTTTTAATGTTTTATCTATATAAATTATATATATTGAGTCAATAAAATTTGAATAATTTTACATAAACTATCCATTATGCATGGAAATTTAAAATTTCTTTGATGGTGGAAAATTATTGGTAGTTCCAAACAAACTAAAGGATTGGGATTGTATCCTATCTATACTATAGGTTTGAAACTCTCTTCCTTCTCTCTATATAATATTACTAGCGTATGCCCGTGTTTAAAGACACGGTGTAAATAATTTTAAGATTAAAATGCAGTTATAATTTATACGTATTATGTTGAAATTTATAAAGTTTGTGTCATTTTTTGATAACGAAACTGAAAAAATATATTGAAATATTTTTCTTTTTAAAGAACTTATAACAATTTTGCTTGTAGTACACGCTCTACAAAACTCAAATAAAATAACAACTCTCCCTAATCTTAATGCAAATTAAGAAACAAACATATAAGATTTAAAGTTATATTGCATATCAAAATATAAAAGGCAGTAAAAAAAAAGTGTTAATACTGAACAAAAAATGGAAATAAAGTTATACTGTTATACACCAAAAGAGTAGGTTAAAACTTTACAAAAAGTGGGTTAAAGCTTTACAAAAGATGTATACTTTACAAAAGATGTGTCACTAACATGTTATACACCAAAAATTATATTGTCATACACCAAAAATATGTATGCTTTACAAAAGATGTGTCAGTAACATGTCTTCAAATATGCGTTTGCCCAAACTTCCTTCTCATTACTTTCCAAAAAGCCTTTGTATCAACTTTTATATATCCCCAATGAGGAATATGCACAACAATCTGGTAATTTGTGGAAACAAAAAAAATATAGATTAGTACATGTGTTGGAAATATACATGTCAAAATACTTTCAGATTCAAATTACCTTATTACTTCCCCATCGAAGCAAGGTAGTCGTATTTCTCCTTTTAAGCTCCATAGATTTTTCGGTCCAATCCTACAAAAGTCCAAATTTCAAATTATTATTAAATTGAAATTTTTTAAAAAGTTATATAATCAACAGAAATAAATCTACGTTGTTACCTTCTAATAAAACGTCATTTAATCTGCATAGAATACTACAGCAACACTTCAGGATAAACAATATTTGTAGTAGAATCCAAATTATCTTTAGGGAGGAGAATACTTATATGATCAAAGGATGTACATCTAGACAATGCCACATATAATTGCCCATGGCTAAACACTGGTATACGCAAATCAACCCCAACAAATTTCACAGATTGTCCTTGAGATTTATTAATGGTCAAGGCATATGCCAATCAGACTGGAAATTGGCGCCTTGTTATTTGGAAAGGCATTTTTGAAGAAGATGGTGTCAAAGATATCCTTGGTATGAATGCCAAATTGCTAAACTTTTCTCCAGTTAAAATTTGAGCTTCAATTATGCAAGTGCTGCACCTAGTAACCATCAATCTTGTACCATTACATAGTCCATCTTTCGGTGCAATGTTTCTTAATAATATTATAGAACAACCCACTTTCAACTCTAACTTAAAAGTTGGCAACCTAGGAGGATCCAATGAATTTAAATATTCATTAGGATATCTATTTGTAATGATAGGATCAATTTCATTATCTTCAGACATTTTATCTGCTGCAAGATAAGTATATAATCTCCCTGGAAAGATATTCGACGCAGTGGTATTAATGTCATTGACATCATCGTTACGCGCAGACAAAATTGTGCGTTCAGTTAAAAATGTTGGGGTTGACGTCTCTATCATATTCAATTGTGGATAAACTGTAGAGAGTACTTCATTCAAATCTTAACATTTGTGTATTGTTGATGGAAGGTTAACAATTTCTTGAGGATTGGTCCCAATCTAAAAAAAAGTGAAATCAATAAAAAAGTAAGTGTAAACACAATTTATTAATTTAAAATAATCTATATAATACAGGTTAAAGTAGTGTTACCTCCATCAAGAAATTTGTAAAATTAGCATTTTCATGGCTTTCATGATTCAAGCGCATATTCAAATCCAAAGTCAAGATATATATATATGCTTCCATAGAACAGAGTGTCTTAATGGTGCATTTACAATTTGCTCACGAACTCCTTTGGGTATAACTGGTAAGATTTGTCGAAAGTCTCCTCCAAGAACAACAGTAACACCCCCAAATGGCTTTTCACTATCACAAATATCCATCAATGTACGATCAACCGCCTCAACATAATGTCTATGTTGCATAAGAACTTCATCCCAAATTATGAGTCTTGTTTTTCTAAATAACTCAGCTTGTAATGATTGTTTGCTAAACCCACAAAGTGAATTTTCCAAGACATCTAACAGAATAGAAAATGTTGAATGTGTAGTGCGACCTCCTACTAGTAGCAGTGATGCAATTCCAGACGAAGCCGCAGTAACAACGATATGCCCAAGGCTACGACATTTTAATGCAATCGTATTGTATAGAAATGTTTTCCCTGTTCCTGCACCCCCATTCAGAAAGAAAACAGTTCCTTTATTTTGAAAAACTGAAGAAGTGATTGTATTATAAGTATTTCGTTGTCCATTATTGAGACAATCAATAGTAATTTGTGGATCTGCATGTTGTGCCTCATTCTGCAGTTGTTGATATTCAACTATCAATCGATTACCAACTACTGCACTCTAATTTGCAGTAGGTTGTGGCATGGGTGGGAAGTCAATTAAACTTTTGCCTGATTCATGAAGCATTTGATTCAAAAGATGGAGACCATAATTTTCAATTTGAGCCTCAGTTGGTTTAGAAATGACAAACAATGTACAAATCTTATGTGCAAGATCATCACATAAATGCGTTGAAAATTGATTCTATAATGCACATGGATTTAGTACAGAGCACTGGGTGAGAATAATACTAAACAATCTCCTCAATTGATATCCAATTTTTATGACTGCAGCCTCTTTCAAGCATTGTATCCATTCTTCATCATCTTCTAAAAGTCCCATTGCAATACATGCTAATTTAAATGTATCATGCACAACATTATCGACCGTGCATAAAGACTAAAACGACTTTGGTCCTTTGACAACGGTTAGTAACAAACGTAAATAAAATCTTTCACCACAATTAGAGCTAGCAAAGTACATTCTACCAATTGCATATCCCCTTTCTCTCCATCTCTTTTCTGACTTGAGCCAAACAAAATGTTGTGGAAATTCTTGATAAGTGAATGGACATTCATCTTCACTGGCAGCACAATATGCAAAGAAGCCAGTAAGAGTTGACATTTGTTGACCAGCTCTAGATTGAATCGTTTGTAATGACTCTTCTGGGTTAAAAACAACACGATGCATTCCAGGTAAATGAAGTGCCAATCGTACAACTGTTGGCATCTCTGCATGCAAAGGATGACCAAATATTCGCCAAGCAGCTTCTGGAGGTCCAATATACCTTGCATCGAGATATTGTTGAATCTCATTTATCATTCCTAAAACCATCGTTCTACAATCATAACCCTTATAAATGTACTTATGTATATACTTGACAAATCTCATTCCGGCACAAACTTCTACATTTATATGACAGTTGAAAAGTTTTGAAAGATATGCATTGTATGGTACGACATCCCTGTTATCAACTTCTTGCCCCCTCACAGTATGTACTTGGCCATTATTGCGACGACGATAGATGGGGTATCCATCTTGATCCATAGTTGTTGTTTCTATGAAAGCTCGAGGGTATCTCTTACTGCATTTACCATTTTCCATACATGGTGCATGCGGATTTCGAGCACCACATGGTCCATGTACCATACAACATTTGATAGTTTCAAAAAGCATAGGATCATCTTTTGGGTCTGGAAATTCTGCACACACCAATTTGTCTACTTGAGCACATGTCCAAATTTTGTCTGGACCCTTGAGAAATAAAAGTGCATGCATATAAGGGAGGCCTCGTTTTTGAAATTCAATTGTAAAAACATGTGCAACTTTATTTCCAAACAATTTATTTGTCTCTATCTCCTCCATCACACATTTTCTCTTCAACTCAAAAACACGGGAAATTAAATCAGGACGATCAATAGGTTTTTGATATGGTAATAATGCTGAAGTAATTTCTGGCCAATTGGGATTTGCAGTCATGGTAAGAAAAATATCTGGGTGTTGGTTGTATCGTGTGATAGCCAATTTGAAGGTCGATCATACTGAACATTCCACAATTTCAACTCAGGTTCCCATCCAAGCTCACCATATGGAAATAATAGAACATAATGTAATGGCAAGTATGTTGGGTGACATTCATTAATTTGCATCAACTCATTATTTCCTCGGAAATGTAAAATAATATCTCTCATTCCATTTACCTCTGTTCCATCACCTGGTATTACAATTGCAATCTCATCTGTAGTTGGTAGGTTATACCGACGTTGATCAGTTGTTGAACTGTAATGAAGATGAGCAGGTAGATTGTGTCCTGTTGAGTCTAATTGATGTAAAATGGCATGCGCCTGGCGATATTTATCTACAAATGCATTGACTTGCAACAAACTATCCTGAATAGTTTTGAGAACATCCCTTCTCAAGTTAGGATTTCTGCGATTACGAATTTCTAAAGCTGAATAAGGGTCATAGATATACAGCTGAGCATAACTCGCATCCTGCCCTGGTTGTGGTTGTAGTGATCCTGTTCGATGTCGCAATTCTCCATGAATTGTGAATGATGTAGGGCCCCTTCCACTGAGTACTCTAGGATCCAATGTAGTACCAAGACTCGTAAAAACATTGGCTGCATTGTACACTCGAGTATAGCTTCGAAAGGATTTTGATTGATCATTATTCCCATCATACAATGCCTAAAGTGGTGGAGGGGGTGTAATAAGTAAAGGTAGCCTAATCTTTCCTTCCAAACAGCAAGTTCCGAATAAGGGACGCTTTATAGATGATTTTGTCAATTTTTCATCCATCCAATGCAAGGCTGAACAATAAGGACATAATACATCCATCTTGCCAAGATAATGGCGGCAAGAATCTTTGTGTGCCCGGGCGTCAATTGATATACTCGTAGGCAGATCTTCTAATTCATCATCAGTACATAGATCTTGTTGAAGAAATCGATTTATAGGAGTAGACCTACGAATATTTGTGTATAAATAAAATTCTGTAAAACAAAACGGTATGAGTAAAAGTTTGTATTTCAAGATTAGACACAGTAGTTTACCGATTCCTTTGTGAATTTGAAGATGTGCTTGGCATAGAAAATGAACATGTAGAATGATGGGTAACCATTGTTCGTTTTTGTGCCGATTGAGAATCTTCAGTTATTGCTTCCCACTCCAAGTGAGTGCGATCGCGACGAATTGGTGTTAAAGAACGTTGTCTTATTCGAACACATTCTTTTAATCCCTCTTGTTCTCGTTGCAAGCATTGAAATTCAATTTTTTCACGCTCTCGCCGTGCCCGTTGGGCCAATGCAGCTTTTGATATTACATTATCATTTTGTGCCTAAAAAGAAAATATTTTATCATTGAAGCAAAATATGTGAATATTTTGTGCTTAAAATGAAACTATCTTCTTATTTCTTCCCTTTCTCTTAATTTTGTTTTCTATTTTATTTGTTTTATACCTTTAATAGTGTTATCTTTATTTTTTTTTTCTTATTTCTTCCCTTTCTATCTTCTTATATCTTCCTTTTCCCTTTCCCTTTCTTTGTTTTCTATTTTATATATTAAATAAGAATTAAAAACCTATCTTATTTAGTTTCTCCTTTCTTTATATATTTTTTCTTTATTTCATCGTTTCTTTTTTCCTATTCTCTTTATATAAGTAGTAACTTATGGATGGTACATTATAAATGCACATGTATCCATGCAAAATAAGAATAAATAAATTTGAAAAACACATACAAATAATAGTAAATTACAGGAAAACATATTACAATCATTCTACAAAAACAACATAAAACAATAAATTCATTTTATACACTCATATATTTTAACTATTCAAAGTTTTGCATCATATTTTTAAAAAAAGAATATATACCACTTGACATGCATTTGCCATTCTCTTGCCGGAAGGAGCCATCTTTTCTTTTCCTTTAGACATTGGGTTGACATTTTCTTTATCTTTTGCCTAACAAATATAAATAAAATATTGAAAAGGTTAAAAAAATCTTATATAATCTTATATAAATAAAATACATACAATGTTTGACTTGATTTTGTACTTACCGCACGGACACGGATAACATTAAGGTCGTGCTCATCACGGATGACCACACCAACATTTCTACATGGAGTTGTAGGAGGAGGCCTACAGAAATAGATTGTGAACAAATTAAAATCTATATAATAAAGTAGTCATAGTAAGAGTAAAAAATTCAAGATTGTCTTGGATAAAAAATTCTTTTTCTTTTTACTAATTTGGTATTAAAGAAGGCTGTCTTGGGTTAATACATTCCTTCGATCTTTCTTTTTCTCGTTCTCATCGCAGGCGTTGTCCCAATTGGTATGCAGAACATGGCTTTTGATTTTTTTCACGTTCTCGCCGTGCACGTTGGGCTAATGTAGCTTTTGATAACCCATTATCATTGTGTGCCTAAAATGAGAATATTATATAAGAAGGTGCATAAAATGTGAAGATTAACTACCTTGCTTCCCTTTCATCATGTATTTTTCTTCCTTTTAACTAACTTTTCCTCTTCACTCGGTTAAGTTGTTAGTCATATAAGAACCAATGCATGTATTTATGAAATTTAAAAAGGAAGGGAAAAATAATGTGAAAACACAAAACTGCAAACTCACTATGCATGAACTTATTGGTTTTAAGACACTACCCATCTCTTTACAAAATATACGTTGAAAAGGTAAATATTAGATCACTGGGTACGTAAAATGTGAATATTAGCGTGTAATGTCTTGTACTTTCCTTTCTCTCTTCTTGTTGTTTCTGTTATATTAAAATGCATTTTTGTCTTTTTCTTCTTTCCTTAAGAACTTCTTATAAGAAAAATAAAAATTAAAAAAAATTATATTATGTAGTTTTCTTTTCATCACATATTTGTTCTTTCTTCTTATTTTCCTTTTGCATTTTCTTCAATTATATTTTTATTATGCTATGTTGTAGATGCAACATATTATACAAATGCAATATATTTTTATCATACAAATAGACAAACATATTAAAAATTCAAATTAATGTTCATACAAATGCATTAGCATGTTGTACAAATGCTTACTTTAACATGCTTCAGAAAAATATTTCACATTTAATAAAAAGAATTGAATAAATTTTTGAAAAAGAAACTTTTGAAAAATGTACATAAAAAATAGTATATGACACTATGCAATTCCTAAAAAAATCTATATAATATTCGAAAAAGAAACTTTTAAAAATTGTTGAGAAACCATACCATGGGATGTGCATTTTCCTTTCCTTTGCCATAAGGAATAGCTTTTTTTATTTCCTTTGATATTGCTTTGTCTTTTTCCTTTACCTTTGCCTGTAAAAAATAAGTAGAATATATTTATAAATTATTTTTAAAATGATAAGAAAATGCATGTCCAATGTTCAAGTGACTTTTAGGCTTACCTCATGAATGCGAATAGTATTAAGGTCACGCTCATCGCGAATAACAACATTAACATTTCTTTCTTGAAGAAATCGAATCTATACATACAAAAAATTTAGAGTGATAAATAAAACTTTATACACATATATAAGAAAATTAGTAAAGGGAGGTGATATTACGGTTCGGTGTAAGTCCCCATCCACCTATAAAGTATGAGGAAAAAAAAAATTAGAATAGTGATATTATTCATAACTGTTGTACTTAAATTTATAAGAGAGGTACTTAAATTTATATGAAGAGAAAAAAGAAAAAAGAAAACTTACTTGACCAAAAATAGTGATATTGTTCATAATTGTTGTACTTCAACCTAAAAATGTTTGGTTATATAATTTTAGATACAAAGAAACAAAAAATTAGCAATAATAAAAGTTAACATGGATTTCATTGGCAATGAAATGTTATTTCCCAATATGTTGCTACCAAATCAAATAATAAAATTCAAAATTTTATTTAAATAAATAACTATCATGAATAGAAAATACTTAACGGGTTACAATCAAGAGGAAAAGAAATAAATAAAAACATAAACTTCTAAGAAAAAGAAAAAGGTCAACAAATACCAGAGGCACGTGCCTTCTCTGTTTAAAATGGTACAATTTTTTTAAAAAAATTTTTTATAACAAAATGTTAAATACATTTTTTTGGGTTAAGTTAAATACTCAATGAATTTGATTCAAAACAAAACGGATTATGTTAAATACTTGTGTTAAGTTAAATACTTGTAAGTTTAATACATTTTTTTTTATGAAGACAACTAAAGTAATACGCACACACATAAGGATTCACCAGAATTTTTGAAATACAACATAGAATATTATATTCCCTTAAAAAGGTGCAACAAAAAAAAAAAAACATAAACTCTCTTGCCATATTACACATGAAAAAAAAATATAAACTCTCTTGCCATATTATACATAAATGTTAGTCTTTCAAATTTTTCTTTTAATTAGGAACTCTAGATATTCACAAAAAAATTAAATGAAAAATATTTATCATCTGTACATTAGAATCACACAGCAAATAAATATTAAATTTGAATGGTACAACTAAATAAATATATTACACAGCAAATAAAATGTTAAATAAATTTTTCTGAGTGTCAGTTTAATTTTTTTGTTGCAGGAAGATCAACTAAATAAATCACCCTTACTTTCTTTTTAAATAGCTCCAAACAAACAGCCCATTCCCCCTCCCTCTCTCCCTCTCTCTCTCTACATTCTTTGCGAAACCCATAATCAAACTCACATTTTTTTAATCAAACCAGCATTTAGAATATATGTTTTTTAACAGTCACATTAAAATGATAAATTAAAACTGGAGCACAATAAAATGGTCTAAATTTGAACTTTTCTCTTTGTTAACTGACTTCAATTTTATAAAGATGAAATTAAAACCAAAATCACAAAACAAATATATTATATTTGAATGGTACAACTAAATAAATATATTACACAACAAATAAAATGTTAAATAATTTTTTTTGAGTCAGTTTAATTTTTTTGTTGCAGGAAGATCA